ATAACAAACAATAACTCAAGGGCAGTAATTTTTGATTTTTTAAAGCAAAAATATAATGGAGCAAATTGGAGTACTCATTTTATTAAAAAAGTTGAAAAAAGTATATTAGTATTTTGTTTGGCTGCTTCTAGAAGATGGACTAAGGTTAGTCGTCATCATGAAAGGTTTTTGAAAAATTATTCAGAATGGCTTACTACACCATTTAAAATGCCTTCCATTAAAAAAAAATCTACTAAAACAATACAGGGCCGACCTTTGGTTGATTTAACTGAATGTTCAGAACGAACAATGCGGCGAAAAATTAACTCTGCGTTAACTATGACATCAATGACGTCACCTGAAATTTTATGTGCAGCAAAAAAAAAGTTATTTGTGTCTGGAAAAAGAAATGAGACTGCTTTATTTAATAAACTGTTGTTGTCTCCTAATAGTGTCCCACAAATGAAAATGGCAATTAAAGATTCTTGTAACAAAGAACCTATATCTTATACTGCTGATGAAGCTTTAGCATTTATTGTAGACAATCAACTTACAAAACAACAGTATATGAATATAAGATTAGGAGCTAAAAAGAGGAATTGCGATATTTATCCATCTTATGAAAAAATTTTTAGTGCTAAACAAAAATGTTATCCTGATAATGTTAAAATTAGTGAATCTGGTTGCATAATACCCTTGCAGAATCTTTTAGATCACACAACTAAAAGAATTTTTCAAATACCAGCTATCAACGAGGTAAAAATTGGCAAAAAGTTATTAGAAATGTTCTATAAATGGGGCTCCGACGGAAGTAGTGGTCAGGCCCAATATAAACAAAAATTTAATGACAACCCTTGTACAACTGACCAAACAATGTTCATGTTCTCTCTTGTGCCACTTGAACTTAGATGCTGTAGTGATGATAGCAATGATAGTAGTGACGTAATTTGGAAAAATTCTATGCCTTCCTCTACTAGATTTTGTAGACCTATTAAATACAAATTTATGAAAGAAACAATTGAAAGTACCAAAGAGGAGGTAAAAGAAATTGAAAAACAAATAAGCAAATTAAATACTACATATGTATTATTCAATGACGAATACTTTGAAGTAAAACATACGCTTATTTTTTCTATGGTTGATGGAAAGGTTAATATTAAACTTTATTATAAATATCTAAAATTTATTGTGTACTTTTATTAGTAATGATTATATTATTCAGTCACAGAAAAAAAAATTTCAAACAAGAAAATTAATGATCAATATTTTTTATTGATCTATATAATTTGATTACTTATTTCTTAACTCGGTTCGATAAAAAAAAAAAATTTATAGGTATGTAATTCTTTGACTGGAATATCTAGCCAAAAATGTTTTATTTGTGGATGTAAACCAACCGAAATGAATGACATTGAGGCAGTTAAATATCGACCATGCATAACAGAAAATTATAAGTATGGATTGTCAACGTTGCATGCGTGGATACGTTTTTTTGAGTATTTTATTCATCTTTCGTATAGATTAGAAATTAAAACTTGGCAGGTAAAATAAAAAAATTATAAAATATACAATATGCAATCCACTGACAATTTATTTTCTTCTAATTTTAAAGGTTAAGGCTGTAAACAAAGGTTTGTATAGTGTTCGTAAACAACATATTCAAAATAAATTTAGGTCTGAAATGGGACTTTTAGTAGATATTGTGTTACAAGGTATGTGATACTTTAGTCTAATTTAATATTAGAATGTTAAAACATTTAAAAAATAATTCATTCTATACAATTTAATATTGTCTAATATATATTCATTATTGTCCAATTATAGGACATGGAACTACGAACGATGGCAATACTGCAAGGAAATTTTTTAAAAACGCTGAATTGTCATCCTCCTGTACTGGAATTGATATTAATTTAATTAAACGGTGTGGAACAATTTTATCGGTAATAGCGAGCGGATATACAATAAACATAAAGGCCTTTGAAGAATATTGCTTTTTAACAGCTAAATTGTTTGTATCATTGTATCCATGGTACTATATGCCGGCGTCAGTGCATAAAATTTTGTTACACGGTGCTCATATTATTCAATATGCGCCACTTCCTATAGGTAATATCACAAAAGATTATAGTTACTACAATAAAAAATATCAACATTTATTTTAGGCAACTTATCTGAGGAGGCACAAGAGAGTCCCAATAAAGATTATAAAATGTACCGAGAACATCACACCAGAAAAAATTCGCGCTTAAATACTAATGAGGATTTAATTCACATACTTCTTATCTCATCGGATCCTTACATTTCTAGTATCGATAGAAATAAGCAAATGCATTTAAAAGAGTTATCAGAAGATGGTAAGATGTTAGTAATATTCCCTCATAATGATAACAACTATAAAGAAGATGAATTAAATAGTCAATTAAATGATTCATTTTCAGACATGAATTTATCAATGGCATAATTATTTTTTATATGTATAAAACTAAAATATTCATATTTATATATCAATGTAATCGTATAACAATTAATAATAAATAATGACTAATTTTATTTATAGAGTAAAAATCCTGTAAAACATACGATTTTTAGGGAAATACTCGTTTATTCTAGGTAAATGCAGTATGTACAGTTCAAATATTATCGAGCGCAAAATTTTTTTTTTTCATAGTGTAGCTGATGACTTGCTCTACAAGCCACATGTATGGATTAACGTGTAATTTTGCGTAATTTTTAGTTAATCTCTTTAAACGAGCAAACTAGAGAAAAAAACGAAAAAATTCGATTTTTTTTAAAGTATAAATTTGTTAAATTCCACAAAAATTAAAAAAAAAGTTTTTTTTCTTTTTCATTTGAAAAAGAATATCTTTTTTAATAGGAATAAAAAAAAAAATTTAATTTTAAATTATGTTTTAAGGCATAAAAAAAATGTACAAAAATAAACTCAAAATTACTGAAAATACGGATAAATTTTAGAAGTATAACATTAAAATAGCTCTACACCTTCACTAAATCAACTTATGCTCTTGAAAATTTGTATTAAAACCCTTAAGTATGATATTAATGTGTTTTGCTAAAAAAAAAAAATTTAAGTGACTTTTAAAAAATGATACTTTTGGCCGCCTAAATCGGCGTTTCATTCCACTGTGCGGCGCCGTTTTTGAAATTCCCTAGAGAATAACTGTGTTAATGTACATGCTATTTGGGGTTACTTAACACACATGAAACCATATTCTTACAATTCAACGTACCAATCGAATAATCTCATATCATAAATTATTATTTTATTTTATTTTAGATTACCTTATTATTTTTATAACTTCGAACTTAGACCCCGATGAAATAATTAATAATTAATTATACGTAGTAAATAATTTTACTATTACAATAATAACAAATCTTTGTCTATTGTTTCTTTTTTTATATACTTTGAACTACTACAATACATTATAATTTGGAAACATTCGACGTTATTGAATGTTTTCCGATATCCCTTTTAGAAATAATGGAAAATACGTATATGTTTATTCATTATATATAAAATCAAGACTTAAAAACATATAAGCGACACCTTTGTCAACTTCATCACGTCAACAGAGAAGACGCTACGGCAAACGAAATAATCATCTTTTAATAAAATGTGTGTAATTTTGATAATATTTTTTTCACTTTTAAAATTGAGGTTTTTTATTCAAAATTTCTACTCATATGGGTTGAACTATCTATTATTATAATTATTTGTAATTTAGTATGTATTTACCAGAGTCTATACCCATTGCAACAATTGTTCATTTTTAGGATAATGATACAATCTGTGATAGGTTATCTTGATTGTATTTACTACAGTTAAAAGAACACTTAATTATTAGTATAGATGATAAGTTATTGCATAATAAAGTTTGTTGAAATAAAATGTAAACATCGTTAATACATCCTGTTTTGACCGCAATTCCAAATATAATCCTGGCACTAAGATATCGTAATTTTAATTATGATATCTTAGTAAGTATCTTTTATGTGGTTTTAAATTAAAATTGTTTGTCGATCTCACACACACATATGCTTATTTTTAATATATGTTAAAATAAGCCTTATTTTATGTACTAAAATTTCAAAAAAAATAATTTGTACCGACGACCTATTTTCTATATGAAAATGGCAGTCGAAGTAGAACAAAAAAGTAGGAGTTATTTTTGCTTTTGAAATAATATACCAATTTCTTAAGATTAAACACTATTTCCATCGAAGAGTTTCTTTTGATAGTGATTTTAATCAATGTCAGATATCGTCTTAACTTGTCCCAACTATGCCACGACTCTACTGTGCTACCGTTGTTTTTGTTATGATAAATTTAATGTTGATTTGTTTTTGAATTGAACAATGTTTTTGTTTTGAATTGTAACTGATTTTAAAATTATATTTCTACAATTTACGACAATCGTAAAATGTCGGGTGGTATGTCGCATAATAGGGAGGGGTAGGCTGGTATTTGTTTTTTTTTTTTGTAATAACTACACTCTTTCTCCATTATTTTACTATTTTACCTATAATATTACAATATTGCATTCTGCTATACTTGGAATTTTTTTTTTTTTTAATAACTTATATTTCCGTAATAATTAGTACTCAATTATCAACAGTATACAATAACAAAAGTTACCGTTTACTGGTAAAGCGTTCTTGAGATTTCTTGAATTGATATTTTCATTTTTATTCATTCAAAACCATTAAAATCTGTTGATAAAAATGATTTTTCAAATATTATTTCATTAAAAATAAAAGTAGAATTGCAATGGAATATAATGAAAATCACGACTTAAGAAAATTAATATTTTTTTACTACATTAATTTTTAAATGTGAGATAGACAGTATGACTAATGTTATTTTTGTGATTTTTACGAAAAATATAATTATACTATAAATACACACGTCCCAACTATGTAAATATGTTAGATAGTTAAATTATAATAATAAATTCAAATTATAATTGTAATCATTTTATATATAAGTTATAGTTTGCAGATTTTTCACAATAATATATTCATATACGTTTAAACTAACTTTTTAGAAATTTGTAAGCAAATTAAAATTGATTTTCGTATTATAATACACGAATAAAATGTTAAAACAGTTGAAATTTGTCAATTTATTAACTATCATATTTTGGTATTTTAATACTCAAATGTGCGACACAACGGGATTACGAAATCGAGAATTACAAGGTAAAATTACTTAGAAAATATCATAATATATTAAATTAGTATTAATATATTTCCTACCTCTATGGTTTCAATCGAAAAAAGAAAAGAAATCAATTTTTTATTTTATATATTATTATTTATTTTAATTTTTTATAGAGGCTGCGAATGCAATTTTGCAAACGAGTAAGTTGTTACCAACTTTATATACATTATGTTTATGTCTATATGCCTTTTTTGATTTATTATAAATGCCGTATGAATTTTTAAGAATACTAACTTTGCACAATAATTTCTAAAAAAACCTTCAATATATTTTTTTAAAAAAATGTTGCATGATATTTGGTCGGTAGCTTATGATGTTTTAACTTTTGAATAAAAACACTTTATTTTTATTTTATAATATGGACTGTATTTTTATTTTATATCTTTTACACATTTTATATACGAAAAACTATAGGTGCGCGTAAGTGAGCCAGACTCATCATTCGCTGTCCGGTTTTCGACTGACTTACAAACAAAAACCCTACGCTGCACCGCCCCCCACCTATTCTATAACAAAATATATCTAGCGTTTTTTCCCCAACATCAAACAATATTTAATTTAAAATATATTTAAAGGTGTCCATTTTTCAGACTATTTTTAAAAGTTAGAAAAATTATACATCAAAATCAATATATTTTTTGATTCTAGATAACGCATTTAGAATCATATAAAGCCATTGATTTTAATTATAGCCATAGATTTTTTTAAATTTCGGATAATTTGTTATTATAAAAGGAAATTTTTTTTTTTACTAATAAGTTCAATTTGAGTATTTTAATAAAGTTTCTTGGTATAATTGAGATCAATTTATTAAGTTTCACTTGTTCATTTTTTGTTCACAAAAAAGGCATTTAAAGTAAAAATTACAAAAAAAAAAAAAAAGTCACTATTGATACGATTTATTTAAGATTTACTCTAGAACTTGATAGACAAATCTAAATTTGTATAAAAATCTTTATCTTTATGCTAATATATGATATTTTTTGTCAGAAAGAAATAAAAAATACATGTTTACGTTGATAGGAACTAAAATAATATCGATTTTTGACTATTTTTCTAATATTTAGTAAATTATTTCATCCAAATCAATTTTTTTTAATGACACGTTGAATATTTATTTCAGAAACCAAAAATATTTTGAGATCATCTTTTAGAAACTTAATTAACTTAAAATTTGATTTAAACAAATTTTAAAAACTAAAATTATTAGAAAAAAAATATGTTGGTTAAATTTTAAAATTATTTCCTGATCTGGTATTTAAACCGATATTTTAACACAAGAACTTATTTGTTGACTCAATAGCTGTTAAATTTTATTTTTGAGTTAAAAAAGCAATGAATAATTTAAAAATATATTTATAAAATATTTTATTGGAAATATTTTAAATATCAAAAAAAAAAAAAAAATCTGTAACAATTATGTTATTTATTTTTTAAGACTTTCAAGTTCAATGCTAACTCGAGATTAATTTTCTTACTATACATTTATCTAAGTTATATGAAATAATATAATCAATATATTCAGTGAATAATTATTTTTATAAGAGTTCCTTTTAAAAAAGAAACTTTTTAAAGAGTAAATGTAAAAAAAGTCAATATTTTATTTATTTATCATAATAAAATAAGTAGTAATTTTATTAATTACTTACAATTATTAGTAAAATGATAAATAAATGTAATTTATATGTATATTGATTATACTAAACTTAAAACTTTAAAATGTATTTTTAAGATAAAGTTTTGTATTCGTTTCCTGAGGAAAGTAAGATAAAGTTTTTAATTACTAAGGTTGATTATTAACCATACTATTTTAACAAAGCTAATTCAATAATTATTTAAATTTATTATTATAAATTTCAATTATTTTATAATTTAAAAAGGCCGCCGGAAAATGACAGACGGACATAGAAAGTGTGCCAAAATTTCTATGAAAAATGTGGCCTGTTATGAGATTAGAATTTGCGACCTAAATCGCCGTAGGGACAAAACTTACCACTAGAACTTATTATTCAGATTCCGATACACTTCCATATAGTTCGATAACAAGATGTGTATCTGAGAAAAAGAAAATACTCTCTATAACACTTATCCCATTAATTTCGCCTTTCTTCTATACGTATTTTTTCAATAAAATGTTTCAAAATATAAATCAATTATTCTTTATATTATCTGTACGATCAATTGTGTACTTTAACTAATTAAAAATTAATTTTTTCTTAACTTTTGAACAAAACTAGTTAATTGTTTTTCTAATAAACTTTTTAGCTTAATTTATTTAATTTTTCGTTGTAATAATTTAGATTTTTAAGTTAAGGGGGTATTCTAGTGTAGAGGCACGAATTTCGCTCGATTTTTGATGCGCTGTATGAAGGAAACAAAAAATATTTTTAGTATCCATTTTTTTATCATTTGTTTATTGATGTTTTATTATAACATAAAAAAAAATTTGAATTGACAAAGTTATGAACAGTCAAAGTGGAAGGTCCAAAAAGGGGGTGTCTTGGCGTGCATGATACTAACCCTTCTGGTAATCTGAAAAATAAAAAATAGACAGATTCTTAATTATTATAGATGCTGCTATGTCACTTGCCCTTGAACAAGTTGAAAAAAATGTTTTTGATAAACGGTGGATGTATAAAAAAAACAATTTTTTTAAATATTCCGAATTTTTATTTTTTAAAGGGATGTATAAAGAATATTCTCTCCAAATTTGAAGTAAATCGGTTCATTATAACTTGAGATATCGTGTACACCAGCTCGAAAATGTAGTTTCAAGAAAAACTCGTTCAAAGTTTTGAGACAAGTTTTCGGTAATTTTACTAATAAAATGATACAGAATACTTACATATTTTTAATCGGCGATTACTGGCAATTGAAAAGGGATGTTATACAATAAAAATTTTAAAAGGCATATTCATCCGTAGGGATTTGGGAACGCCTACCGTTTTTTGTTAAGTTAAGCAGGTAAGGCCGGAACCTATGCTACGTTACTAAAACGGCTATAACTCATTAAATAATAGGAATTTTAAAAAATTCTTTTAATCGAATATTTTTAAATGTCTAGACTTAGGAAATATGAAAAAAAAAATGTTCGATTTTTTCAAAATTCTACACTAGAATACCCCCTTTTTCATAAAAAAGTATGTCTTTATACACTGTCTACATGGTTTAATTATAAAAAAAATTCGAATTTTCCCTTATCCCAATTATTACTATTTATATATCAATAAATTTAATTTTCTGATTAAAAAATGTATATGATTTTTAATTTAATATTTTAAATCATATAAAGTAGTTTTAAAGATAAAACAGTGCAACCAACACCAAAATGAACAAAATGAATAAAAACAATTTTTGATATCTTTAATAATTTCTTTCTATTTAGTTTTAAAATTTAAAAATAGATTCTTAGATTTCTTTTGCATCAACGACTAATAAAAATGATTTAAAGAGATTTTAGAAAAAAAATTAATTTAAGTGAAATTTGCTTTTTTTAAACTAAAATTAAATTTCAATTGATTTTTTAACTTAGCTAGTTATATTTATAATCTGCTAACTTTTAACTGTTAATTAATCGACATTGTTCATACTTAACTTAACTTGAGTTAATTATTTCTATTTACTTGCCCGACTTTGTGAACGATTATTTGAAATGTAATTTAATATTATTATTTTTTTTTAAGACCGACATATATTGCTAGAATGTTTATTAGTTCAGTTGTGTTATCATAATTATGATTATCGTAAGTATTTTTAATT